TGTCGCGTCGTCCCTCATGCTGTGTGGATCTCCCTGTGTGTCTCTCTGTGAGTTTTCTGAGTTCCCAGTTTAGATTAGTTTGTATGTTTTTTCCCTGCCAGCAAATAAAGCTGAGTTTTGAGTTCACCTCCCTGAGTCTGTGAGTCCTGCATTTTGGGTCCAACTCCTGCCTGCCGCACAGCGATTCATGACAATACCATCTCGAAAGCATCTGAATCGCACACACATGCACGTGCACAACATACTAACGGTTTGTGAAGACTTAAAGAAACAAGAAAAATTTGGAAAAGGGGTTCACATTAAAACTCATAAGATCTGTACACACTCTGTTCTGCCTTACATAATGTATCTTCACTTACGTTTGCATCTGTTTCCCGTTTTCCTAGCAAAATATAAAGAAATGAGGGGTGGCTAAATACTTTTGCATAGCACTGTATAAAGTACTTATTATACCAACTGGCTTTTACAGTTACATCATAAGTTCATGTTCAATGATGCACCTGTGTAAAATAATCAGATAACCACAGTGAACATTGCTGCTTTGACAAGTCAGTTTCCTCATTGTTTTCAGTGTCATTCAGTCATGTGTTTTCTGTGTGTTTGATCCTTTTTTGCATGTGAGTGTTGTGAGCATGTGCTTTGTGTACAAGATGCATCTGAGTGTGAACAATATAGAACTTTGTGAAAGAGAACTAGGAAGTAATAAGGGACACCGTGTTCGTGCTTCAATATCGACTGCTTTAAAGATTTAGAAAAAAGAAAGCAAATAAAACGCAAATGATACGAAGAGCAAACCGACCAGACAGCTGCCCTGGAAGGCACCAGAAGCATATGCACCTTTTTACCACAACTTCATTAGAAACATTATAACATTCAGTTGTGCATTTGGGTTTGTAAAATTGATTAACTTTATCTACTTTTGCAAAAATGTAGTTAATGCTGAGGTCATATTTAGCAATACAGATGATCCACTAGGATTCTTGTTGCAGCTGTATAATATATAAACCTTGACCCGCACAAAACATCAGGCCAGAGTAATACTGCCACCCTTTGAAATAGTCACGTACTGAACTCGTGTCAGTTTTGCTTCCTATAGGCGAGGTGTGTGTGTGAGTGTGTGTGTGTGTGTGTACATGCATGTGTGTGTGTGTGTGAGTGTAAAACAGTGTTTACTGAAACAACTTTTCTATCCTGGCAACACTTACTATGAGGGTGGAGGGATAAAACTCTAATGACCTTAATCCAACATTTACAAACACGCACATATAACACATGCTCACAGCACTCACATGCAATTACTTTTTCCTTCTCTCTACATTATGTAATGTGGTCTGTGGCTATATAGATCCCAGTAATCTCATTTCCCACTGTGGCAGAACGGCTTATATCAGGAGCAGTAGGGCAGAACGTACCGAAGAAAAGAAAGTCTGGGATGGATGGAAAGAAAAGATGAGGATGATCATGCCGGAGATGGGTTTCGAATGAGATAAAGCTTAACAAACTGTGATTTATGAGAGAATGAGAGGTAGAAATGATAAAAGCGTGAGGAGGAATGGTAGGGTTTTTCACATCAGCTCCTTCAGGAGTCACATCAGACTTGTGTTGTGAATACCCTGCGAGATGGAGATAGACCGCAACGAGACTCCTTGCATTCACTGAGCTTTAGATGAAGGGAACTCGACTTATAACAGCAGCTTATGGTTTGTTGTAATCCTGTGAGCTGGGAATATGATAACTAGACAATGCTTGAATAAAACTAAAACAATCCTAATGAAAAAAAAACAGATACTGCAACATAGGGGAGGGTTGATAATGTACTATTGCATGGTGCCGTACTTGTATAATAATAATGCTGCTTATTTCCCAATTTGAATATACTGATACTATATTTTTAAAGCTTATATGTCGACATTGACGATATTGTTAAGATAACAGTGCTTTTTTAAAATAGAAACAAACTAAATGTTTCATTTCATTATGAGATTCAGGGAAATTTTACATATTTTAAAAAAGCTATCAGTGTTTTCTGGTAGAAAAACTATGCATTGGTTTGTTGACCATCTTACCTTCTTGAGCCCACAAGTTGTTGATCTGGCAGTGACTTCATTGTAGGAAATCCACGGGTGCCACTGAGTGTACAGAAGCTCCTAAAATGACATAGACTTGACTCAGCCTAGAAAGAAGGCTACTCTATTATTTAGGTCTTGATAAGGTATAGTTTAAAATGTTGAGAGGCACTGCGTGTGTCTGTGTGTGTGTTTCCCACTAGTTGGTCTCGCTGACTCACTGTGTGCCACTCAGCAGTCAGAGCACGTTGCAGCCTTTAATAGAGTGACATGATGATGCAATCTCTTGTTCCTGCGCTAAAGAGATTACCCACCCTTTCACTTTTTCCCTCTGTGTTTGTCCAACTTGCGTTGTATCAGTTTAATTTAATACACTTTTAATTTGTGTAAATGGGCTGTGGGGTTATATGTGTTTGGCCAGGAGTCTGAGTCCAAAAGGTATTGCAGATTTGTGATATCTGTTGTTATCTGGGCCAACACCCACTCCCAGCACACTGTACTTACAGTCAGGAAAGATGAGCAATGCAGTTTCAGTGTTACTTCTCACCACTACCTCATCTTTTTGTCTTCCTCTCTCTGTCACGCTCTCTCTCTGTCTCTCGCTCGCTCTAATTGTAGTTACATGGTTGGGGATTAGCTGGTCCTCCCGTCTGTTTTTACTGCTGTGCTAAAAGCTGCCTGCTTTTCTCAAAACCTGTCTCAGGCTGCTGTTTTTCAGTACTGTCAAAGAAGTCTCCTCTTGTTCCTTTCCCCCCTTTGTATTTTCTCTTTCCCTCTGCACACATCAAAATACTGTATTTAACCTCCAAATAAGACCAGAATGGTGCAAAAGATAAAAGCTGGCACCTTGTTAAGACCACCCTTGTCTCCACCCATACCACGAGAGACCGCGTTGTCTGTGCCAGGGATTTAATGTAATGCATTAATGCTGTATTAATTGCTGTAGTCCTCTGCCTCACTGCATACATGCTCAGCCATCCATTTGCTCACTCCCGGATTGGTTTTAGGAAGAACAATGGAGTGGACTCCTTTTATGTAGTCGGTCTCATAAGCTTTTTATGTGTGTTAGGGTGACTTGCTGTTTGAGAATCTTATGGCCGAGCGAAGGAAGATGTTACTAATGAATGCATGTATTTTTCAGAGCTGCATATATGGGGTGGGGGTAGGGTGTGGGGTTGAGATGTAGCCGGCCAGCATAAACAGAGCTGGTAGCTTACAGTAGGCTCTTTGGTCTTAGTAATTGAATAATGAGATTCCTTAGATGAAGATAAAAGGTTTAGAGGTAATTACTGCAGTCTAAATTCTCCCACCCTGCAGCCTTGAGTGCGCGTCTCTATGTATGCCTGTTCCTGAGGGATGTTGTATGCACTTTGATTTTTACTGTGTTATTTGTCTGGAGGCACATCGTAATATTTATGATTTAAAAAGGAGGTGAAAACAATGCAGAAGCTTAAATGTAGTCAAGAAAATGTAGTTTAAGACAAGGTGGACAAATAAAGTGACAGTA